CCCTAACCATTCTATGATTTTATCTGCTCAAAGCTTTAGACTGCAGCTCCCTCCCCTCTGGAAGGGACACACACCCCCCAAAGCGCCTCTGCCCTTCCTCTACCTCTCTGCAGGCCGGAGCCGCGAGCTCCGCTTGCGGCAGTGGCCCACGCACCACCACAGGCATCGCTCTCAGGCAGCTGGCAATGTGTCAGAAGCAGCCCCACACCCCATCCTGGGAACGCGGCGCCCGACCCAAAATACCTACTCAATTTGACAGATCCGTCCATGCCGAGAAGAATATTGTCGCTTTTGATGTCTCTGTGAATCACTTGGTTTGAGTGAAGGAAATCCAGAGCTTGCAGGCACTGACAGATAAAAAGAAACACCAGGGTAAAAATTAATGACCTGATTTCATCACACCAGAAAGGAAATGGCTCTAAAAGATTTAATTCCGAGATGAGCTGTGAGTAATGGCAGAATATTGTGCTGTCAAGAGGCATAGCTCGCCGCGTCAACACTATTAGAGTAATAACTTTCTAAATGAAGGCATATTAGCTTCTGAAAGGGAAACGCCAATTACTTCTGCAGACTGTCCCCCGAACGCAGAGCCAGAACGGCTGGTGCTGCAGCGAATGTGCCATCTCCGTCCGTCCGACAAACTGCTGTTTGCCAAGGAGAAGTCCCTTGGGTCGGAAGAGAGCCACGTGCGGGTGGAAGACCTGACAAAGGTCTCACTGTTAGGCTCTACAGCCCGCTTGGCAATAGCCCATTAGTCATTTTTCAGAAGCAAACACCATTTTGGGTGGAATGCTGTCCTTTTAAGCTGAGGACTGTGACAAATGAGTCTCTATTTTTCTCTGCTGTTATTATAAAATTCTGCCACCAGCATGTTTGCTCTTAGCGGCAAGGAACGGTACAGGCAGGGCCCAGGCAAACAGTTAAGGAGGCAAAGTTGAGAAGAGTAGAACTGAAACACCAGCAAAACCAGAGGCAGTACAGCAGTACGTAAGACTAAGCAGATGCTCTTTCTTCTCCTTATTGTAAAGCGACAGAGAAGCAAGCTCTGCACACGGAGTCGCTCACGTTCCTGGCGCCTGTCGAGAGGTGCCATCCTGTCCAAGTACCGGAAGCACACACGGATCCCTTACCTCCCTACAGACAGCTGCTATCTGTCCTTCATCCATACACGTCTCCGTCACCACATCGGTTAGAGAGCCTCCAGCCAAGTATTCCATAACCACCCAGAGCTCGTCACCCACTAGGTAGCTGCAAGAAGAAAAGACGGCATCGCGGTGAACGCGCACAGCGGCTACGGCTGACTTTCGTTCCCGGGTCATTTTTAAATGAAGACCAAGCAAAAGGAATAGACGTTCCCTTTTAGGCTGCACAGTGCAGTCTGAACCAGACAGGCACGGAAGTGAAAAATCAGACGTCTCAGATGGCAGCAAGTGAAAAATGCAGTTTAGTAATGGCCAAGATAAATCTCGAACCAGGACGTATCACCTCATCGGGTTCATCTTCTCGACACATAAATTCCATGATGAACTCCAGGAGCAAGGCAACACAGCGTTCATAGCTGTCCGTGGTAGGAGAGTGTGTACCACTGAGGACAGAAACTGGGCAGCAGTTTGGAAAATCTTACATAAAATACATTCAGAAACAGGAAAAACAATTTAAAAACTGGCAAATGGCGTTTTTCTGGAAACAAAAATCTAGTCTTCTCGGCATCCACAGCAATGGAAAACAGTGGGAACAGTCCAAGGGAAATAATCTCTGTGAAGATTTATCAGCCCTTATCAGAAGACACAGGTAACTTAAAGAAACTTAAAGAAAACCTAAACCCAAACCAAGACCAAACCAGTTGATTTTCTGCCAGTGACCAAAGGATTCTATTAAAATCTCTGGTTTGCTGTATGAAAATGAACATTCACATGGCGATACTGGAACGACTTACCTGTCTAAATAGTTAACAATATTGGGGTTCTTATTTTCCCTCATGACCAGGATTTCATTAATAATTAGTTCCTTTTTGGGCTGTTGCTGGAGATTCATTTGCTTTATGGCCACCTAAAACGACATGGAGAACCATTAACTTGAGCAGCGTGCCGAGATCAGAATGAGAAACATGGAGTGTTTCTGGAATGACGCAGCAGAGCTGTGCCAAACTGTCTTGTTGTCAGACGTACGAGCTCAGCAGCTGACATCACACAACCCCACTTCTCTGCTAGCTGGGGTGCTGCTTACAGGGGACGTGGCCTTGTAAAATCTGTAAAAACGGTCTTTAAACTATCAGCCACAAATCTCTAACAACACTCTCCGGACCTGTATCCTTCTCAAACAGCCTCAGTTTAGTGCCACTGTTATTATTCACGCACGTTTTGCAAGCAGGAAGTGATTTTGTTACTGTGAAAATATATAAAGCCAGCTGGTAATACTTCAGCAGTTATGATTTTTGATTGTTACTTCAGCAACTGCTGTTATTCTTGACTTGACTGCATAACTAACCGGATGAGAACACACACATCCATCAGGTACAGAATGCTGCTCTAAAAGGTCAGTTAAGGTTACACCAAAACCAAGTTTACAATCTTAGCACTTCCTAACTTCCTGAATTTTGATTTTGCAACTCCAAATAACATTCTTTAACACAGTTTAAATTTGCAATTATGTTCTGGGTTTACACCACCAACCCATTCTGTGGTATTTTACGATCCCCCCAGGGTTACAAGCAGGGCTTAGGGCTTTTTAGACGCCTCGGAGACCTCTGCGTAAAAGCAGTTATGAAATGCAGCACTGCAGGTGGACGAGGAACTACCAGCAAGACTGAGATGTGCTTGCTGACAGCCAGAAATGACAGGTCTTAAGCTGTGGCCCCGGAAAGCAATAGGATTCTCTAGACACCACCTCATCTGTTCACTGCTAACACAATGACTTTTCTCTGACCCACTGCAGCCATCCCGGCTCCTCCGCCCAGTCCCACCTTCCCCCAGGCAGCCATGGTCTCCCCCTGCGCTTTTCGTCGTGGCCTCCTTGCTGAGCCCGCTTCTGCCAGCCCCGTCCCTCTGGGCTCAGCCCTCCTTCCCTCCAGGCCTTCCAGCTCAGCTCCAGCCAAGGGCTCCTACAAATACACCTTGCCCGGGGTGTCCCAGAAGAGCCCTCCTGCCCCACACGGCACTCCCTGGGGAGATGTGGCTCTATTCAAAGTCTGCCTCTTGCTCCCTCCGTACACAAGCTGGCCAGCCTCCCTCTCTGCCTTGTCTTGCTCTTGACCCGGCACGAAGAGACCAGCCCTCTGCTCTCACTCCTGCTTTTCCAGCCAGATTTTCAGGCAGGGTTTGTCTCTGTCCAAAACCAGGCCTGCAGGGCCCGTCCAAGTTAGCACCGCGTCCCTTCAAGTTCTGTTTCTCACCCTCCAGCGCCCGCTTCCCTGTGAGCTGTTCATGGGTGAGCATCAGCCCAAGCACAGAGAGCACCAGGGTCTCACTGCTTCCAGGGGGGGCAGGACTTCCCCCAGGGATTCGCAGGCACCTTTTCAGGCATCGATCGATCAACACCTCAGCACAATGGTTGCCGGAAACTGGGTGGCCACAGTACGCAGAGTTACAGCACAGAACCACACTGCCCTTAAAGAGCTTCCAGGGAAAAGCTGAAGACTGCAGATGATGTGTTTTGCCAGCGGACACCAGTCGTGCTTAAACAGCCTTAGCAGATGCGTTTCGCAGGCTGCCACTTCTCTGTGCGTCAGAGGAACAGCCGCTGCTCTACCGGGGACCCGAAAGCCACGTCTGGAGTGTGCACGGGAGGAGAAAGCGCCGCGTACCTGCAAACCCTGCTGGGACTGTTCGCACTCACCTCCTGCCCCGTGGCGATGTCGATGGCTGTGTAGACAGTTCCCGACGCCCTAGAAACGGAACAGCAGCGAAGAAGTGAGAAGCGGTTTGCTCCCCACGAGCAAAAGCAAGCTGGGATCGCAGACCTCTGCTGCCTGCGGTGCTTGTAACGCCTCTGCCCACCCCCTCCCCAGCCAGCAGCGCACGGCGCAGCCCACCAGCCCTCTGCCACGCAGGGGGTGCACAATCCGACTTGTGTCCAACGTCAGAAAAAGGGGCTGCTGATCTCAGACGGACGCACTGAATCGCTCCAGAAGTTAAAGGGGGAGGCGTGAGTGTCTATAAAGGCTGGAAAACAACCTACTTAATTCTCTTTCAATTTTATCCAGTTTTGCTTTGTTGGGGTCCGTGTTTCGCTTCTGTGGCTGACATGGGTGGTTGTAGAGCCACCAGCAGTAAACGGTGTGCTCGCCTCCAGACCAGACAGCGTGGGGGCTGGTTTGCCATCTGCCTCTTGTTCAGAGTTTCTTCCCCTGCAATGATGTAAAGGGCTGCAAAGGCCACCGTCAGAGGAAATCCCTTTGGGTTTGAGAGCAACTGTGGGCTTGTAAAGCCTAAAGGGCTTCCTTCTGCGCTGAGCCACGCGTTTACACGGCCAGCATTTCAGCAGCTCATGTCTGCCTGGGCTGTGAGGCAACGGAGAGCCAGGGTGAGATTTCTGGGAAGCGAGAACAGGCACCCGGCAAGTGTCCCACTGACCCAAAAGACCAAAAATCAGTTTGCTCACCTTAACACCATCCCCCGGATTGCTTGTTTACCTGCAGGCTGAAACATTTCCCAGGCATTTTAATTCAACAGGCGCCAGAGACTGTACGTCTGTGTTGAGAACACTGTTCTCATTGGGCATGCCATGTATTCTTTTAATATAAATGCAAATGCGTTTCCCTATGACTAATTGTCGAGATTAATCCAATTTGTTTCCATGAAAAGCCAACACCATTTATTCAGACTCGCTAACACTGTGCTGTACCTTCTGAGCAAAGTCCTGTCAGGGTTTATTTAAAAACAGCTATTTAAATTAGGATGCTTTTGGTATGCTCCAGGCCATCTGTGAGGAGTTTAAAGGTAATTTAAGTAAAGCTGTGAATTAACTGCAAGGGCTCTGCGTTCTATGATTCTGCACTGCAAACTTTCACTTCTAAGCAACTCTAATTTCTGATCCCTATCTAACTTTGAAACGCTTCTGTAGTATCTGGGGTTTCATGCAGTTAGGCAAGTACCAGGCCCATGTCAGATCTGTGTCACTCTGATGCAGTGCAGTACCAGCTAAAAAAAACACCCCGAACCCAGGCTGCTCACAGCTCCACACTAATTAGTCTTTGCAGCAAGAGCTAACCCTGCTCGTGCAAACACAGCCTCTCCATCAAGCGCTGAACTACGCTTCCTCCGGCGGCAGCAGCCTTTTCAGCCCTCCGCTGGGGACAGATGACAAACCAGAGGCTTGCCACTGAAGCTGAGCTCTTCTCCAGCACGGGGCTGCTGACTACTGGTCACTCCTAACTTCCCAGCTACGCGAGCCAGAGTGCTACGTGCGGGTCAAGTGGCTTTTCCTCATGTAAGAAGTTGCTTTCTACCTGCAGTTTGCTGAGCAGCCACTTCCCTTGCTGCCCTGCAGTGCTCTGAGCAGCAGCTGCTAAAAACCCTACTCGCTTCCAACACAACCAGTGCCGTTGGCGTAACTACTCAACGCGCTGCAACGGCGAGCAGCTCAGGGACTCCACTCCTCACGTCAGCACCATCTGCGGCATCTCGGCCCAGCCCTGCTGCAGGCGTACGCACTACCCCCAGCCATGCCGCCCTCCGGTTCCGCCCCACCATCCTGTTCGATTCCCTCTGCACCGACCTTTTCCTGCAGGATCCCTCCCCATCACTGCAAATCCACCTGCTCCCTACAGTCACGAGCTGGTCACAGCAGCGCGCTCCCTCCCCTGTGAGACATGCTCAGGCCGTACTAAAAGCCGGAGGAAATCGGTTTAGATTCCCTTTTAGGCCGGGTATTAGCCACGTGTCTTCCCACCGCTTGCCGAGGCACCTTCGTACACGCTCACGCCGAGGACTGTCAAAATGAAAGATGTGAGGGTCGTGGTCATATTCTCACGGTGACAGCAATCACCTGCTTCACACAGGCTTCTTCTGACTCTCACTCCTTAGCTGACACTTCTCTTTCTGGCACAGCTCGAAGTGTCCACTAACGTTTTACAAATGACAGTAAGAGCCCAAGTTTCAGGTGGAAAGTGAGCTGGGAGCTGAGAAGGGGTTTTTGTGTGACGACGGAGCAGCCTCACCAAACAAGACACATCTACGACCAGGCCCGCCGGGGAAAGGGCATGAGTGTGTCTGGCGTTCAGACCAGTTCCAGGTCAGCAACGTGCTACCCTCACCAACAGTTACAGCAGAAAAATACCTCCTGATGTCAGCAAGCAGAGCCTGCCACACCCCGACAGCTGCGTGATCCTGGGGCTACAACACGGCCAAGGGAACTCCGACCGAGCCTGCCCGTATTCCAAATGCAAGTCAGACCCCGAACTGTGATGTCATTTCTTGCCTCCTCGCGATTCAAACCATCCTGCGTACAGCAGGCAAAGTTGGGTTTCCAAAGGGAACAGCTTGGCAGATTATTTTCAGTGAACTCCTAAAACCTGCAGGATCCACGGGTGGCCTGTCTGTCATCAGGCAGATGATGCGTTTTCTCATCGAGTGCTTCGTGCATCGACGCTCTGTTTGCTAATGAATCTTCCGTTTTCGCTACCTCTGCTAGAAAGGAGAGCTTATTGTTTAACCTCTGATTTCAGTTCCTAAACGATGTGGTTACAATCCCGATCACTGAATATTTTTAAGCAAAATATTTGAAAGAAATGTTACTGAGAACCTACTCATCTGACAGCTATCAGGTGGCAAGTTCCTCTTCTGGGCAATAAAGTTTTTTCTCCTTTCTTTGGCGTGGCCATATTACTTTGAGACGTAGAAAAAAATTATTTCTCCTAAGAAATAAGCAAGCGGGCGCCACAGACTTGAGGGACAGTAGATCTTCCGGGTCCTGCTCCTTGCTGCAGACAAGACACCGCCAGCATCACGCTGTCTTTGATGATGCCTTCTGACCACAGTTACAGCCTCCGATCAGTTCTGAGCAACAGGAGAATCTCAGCCCAGTGTCTAAGGTGCCTGGGGCTTGCCCAACTTCACACCCAACACTACACCAGCAAAACACCCAGCCCATGTCTTGGCGTAAGTAACTGTGAATGGACTTACCCTTGGCCAATCTTTTCAAACCGAGTGTATTTCTTCTTAGGATCTCCCACGCTGACGATGCTCCCTGCAAGAGACAAAAGCAAAGATGCTCACTTAAAACTGGAGATGGCACCTTCCAGCAGAAGGAAACGCAGCCCCACGTCCGGGGCTGTGAGCCCTCGCAGTCAGTAACGACGATGTCAGCAGAGGCAGCTCTGCCACACAGACGGCCTCCACAGAGACTGATTTTCTCCAGTCCTTCTGAGGGTTACCTAGGCAGGAAACCAAGAACGGGGAGAAACATTCACAGGAAGCGGGTATCAGAAAAGAACAAGTACCAGCGCGAGTGTTTGCTGTCTATAAACACCAATGAGAATGGGAACAGCACGGCCTTTGCTTTCTTCGGAATAAACACCGTGATTCGACAGACGGTTTAATGCTTTCAAAGATTAAATGCACCTTGGGTTCTGGAATCGATTTTTATGAACAGGTGCCATTTTCAGAACAGGAAGAATATTGCAAAGTGCTTCCAGGAGGGAAGCTTCTCAACCTTTCAGCTGTTTAAAAATACAAAGGCATTCTTTTGGCGAAGAACAGCATCTCATGTTATAGTCAATAACCATGGGGCTTTAAGAATTCTGACCCTGGTGAACTATTGCCAGGCCAAGTTCTGAAGACCTTGCTTGTGCCATTTTCAGAACCACACTGCTTGCCTTCAGCCTGAGTCGGGTCAGCAATCAGCATCTGACTGGCACGCGTGCTGATCGTCACAAACAAGCAGAGTCACGGGCAACAAGAGCAGCAATACTCCTCAGGCCCCAGTGTTATAGCGAGAGCTGTGCACACGAGATGCGGATGATCTCAGGAGCAGAGGTGATGGGATTCAGGAGCCAGGCAGATGGGCTGCTGCTGCCTCCCGGCAGCGCTGCGCTGCGGCAGCAGGATTGCGGGGCTGCCATCCAGCACGGGACAGTCGGGGTCTGTCAGCCACCCCGGAGCCCATGTGCACTCAAAGCTAAGGTTAAAGCATGCACTGCCTGACGTCGTCTTGCCCACTCAGAGGTGTAGGCCGTCTGAACGGGAAGGAAAGCAAGCAGTTAACACAGGATACTGTGTTTGTCTGGAATGAAAGAGCCAAAATTTGATAAACTCCAACAAATCTGAAGGAAGAATTAAAAACCCAATATTGTTTTTTCTGGTCTGGGAATTTCCTAAGTCAAATGCAAACAAGGAAGCCTACGGTGATGGCTCAACGCAAGTGACATCTAAAGGTTTAACTTGGAACACACTTCACTGAAACACTTTAAGATTAGTTCAAGAGGAAACACTTCCAACATTTCACCCCATGTTTTGTTTGACTGCTCTGGCGATTTTCCTGTGTCACAAATACCACACAAGCTTGTTGGGTCACCTGTGCATCCAGAACAAGACTGGTGAAGCGCCATTCGCTGTAAGCAGTGACAAACCCCTCTCTGCCCTGTCTCCGGAGCAGAGGGCTTTAGCATCCAAATGGGCATCTGACTGGATGCCCAGCTAGGAATGCTGCCTGCCAGCACGGCAAGAAGACGGGGCATCAACACCATCTGGTACATGCCCCGCTAAAGCCATGTCGCTGGCCTTGGCAAGGTCACTAATGGGAGCTGTGGGAGGTTTCCTTCGCCCCGCAGCACTCGCTGCGCTCGGCCGGCACCGCAGGATGCCAGCCAGGGCCCACTGCTGAGGGCAGCGGGAGCGCCTGCCTGCTGGCTGAGGATGCGGAGAGCCCCAGGGAGCCTGGAGTTGTGCTGCCCTGCTCTGCCAGCCTGCAGGAGTCGGAGCGACTGGATTTTCTGGGGCCCAAGGGTGTAATGCTTTCAGGACCTGCTTACCTTTCTGTAGCTTCATCTCACCGAAACATGTAACGTAAGACAAAGCTTTCATTCTGCTTCTCTAGTGCATCTGCACTCCAAGTAACTCTTCAGTCACGCAGAATATGACCAGAGGCCTCTGGGGCTCCCCTCTCACTGACTGGAAGAAGGGATGTGAGATGAGAAAGCACACCCTGCCGCTCACACTACTGAGCTTGGCCATCCCCCAGACAGGGACGCCCACGGCGCTCCACAGCACGAAACCACACGCTGCCGCAATCCTGCGCTGGGCGGGACAGGAGAAGAAACGCCACCTTGCCAGTGTCTGGCGAGGCGCCGGGTTCGATGGAACTGCGTGTCTATCAGAACAGGTCTCAGAAGTTCACAGAAGTTCCCCCCATTAGAAAAGAATAAAGAAGAAAAGACTGCAGAACAAATATTTTGACAAAGAATTTTCCAAATTTGCCACTGATTTGCAGTTCTGGTTCCTGGGGTTTTTCCCCAAAAAACAGCTTTCACAAGTCAGTTGTTTCTGGCTGGTTTCCTGTGCTTAAGCCAACGCACATCAAATACAACAGCACTGCAATCAAGAGAACGACTGGTACGCAGCTCCAGTCCAGAGAGGCACGCCCTGCTCTGGACAAAAGATAAACACATCAGCTATTCGATGTCTTTAAGCACTTGCCTTTATCAAGTCCTAAATTAAGTGGATAAGAAAACAGAATTGAGCCACTTCTGTTTCATAATTACAATGCAACATATTCATGATTTCATTACAGACGGAATTTTTTTTGATCTTATCTAACATTACAGGCTTTACTCCCTAGTAAAACTTGTAATGGAAGTGGCTCTAAAAACCCAAGTTATTTCAAGCAGTAAAGAATTGAAAGCAATTTAAGATAAAAGAGGGCAGGGAACGTCTTCCTAAAAGTAGCATAAAATCAATTCTGGGGGAAGTAGGCAAGGTAGAGAAGTCATACGAGTTAAAACAAAACAAAACCACCACCAGACATGCTTAAACATACCCAGCCCAGGACGGTAACACACCAGCATCGCTCCTGTTTCCAGAGAGCTTCACGGATGCACAGGAAGACGCTCACTGTCCGCAGGACAGCTTGCCCAAGGCAGACCCTCAGACCCTGCTCACTTGGTATCAGATTCTTCAGAAGGGAAAAGCATGAGAGCACGGGACATTTCAGAGATACCACCCACGGTAACTCAAGGGTTCACTCCTCGTCTGGCGCAGAGATGCTCGAGCAAACGACGCGCATGCGCTCAGGGACGCAGGGCACCTGCAGAACTCATGGCGAAGGACACCTCAAACATTCAGCCTCAGTCAAGAGGCTGTAATTTCTCCCTCCATAAGCTGACACACCTGCAGGTAACCATCTGCCCTGGAATTCATCTCCTTGTGCTCTCAGCTAAAGCCATCGAACTTACCCCTCGGACATTGCCCGACGGCACTGAGATTCGTTCTTCACAGTCCCGGCACCCTGCGAAGGGTGCAGAAAGCTCCACACAAGCAACTGAGATGGCACAGCTAAGGAAGGTGTCAGCCTGCAGGCACCCCAGCCGGCCGTGCAGGGCAGGCACCGGGCTGGCCTAGCACACGAACGAGCATCGACAACCCCCGTGAAGAAGCCACAGCCTCGCCGCACCCCTCTACAAGCAGCTGTCCCCGCTGAAGAGAACGTTACTGGCTTGGAGGGCGAAGACAAGGAGGTGTAGCCCAATCCACTTTTTGCCCTGACAGTCGGTGGGCGACGCCGAGTAAACCGGCGATGTTACGAACCCCACAATTTATTATCTGAGAAGACAGCGCTGGCAGCTATTACGTGCATGAAGCAGCTAAATGGGCTGCACTGCAGATTCACAGAGCGCTCGATGTGTTTTCCTACAGTACGATCTGTGCAGGGGCTCTGGGTCAACAAGTGGATTTCTAATAGCATTAACGGGCTGGGAATTAGCTATGACAAAGGGCTGTGCGTCTGAGGAATACACGGGGTGTGCTGGAGGCTGGCCCCTGAGAAACGCCTGCAGTGCCGTTTCACCTGATGTGTGTCTGCTACATCTCTGTAAGCATAAAGCTAAGAAATAAAACAAGGTTTGTTACAAAACCACTTGTTTTGCTTCTGAGGCACACTGAACACACCTCTTCCTCTCTATCCATGGTGTCAGCTGATGCTCTTTCAAAGGAGTTCTCTGACAAAAATGTACAATTCCTACAAAAACTAACTGATGTATTAGCAGAAGTAGCAGCAGCAACAATCATAAAAATGGCCCCAAGAGTATCTGGGGCAGGAAAGATCCTTGAGGAGTGTAGAGGAAGCTCAGGCAGACCCAGCCTGTCACAGCTGCCCTCCGAGGCAGAAGGACCCAGAGTGCTCTGCACCGTAACAGTTAACACAGGGAGTAGTGAGTGACTCTCACCCTAGAACTGCAGATGCATGTTGGGTGCCTAGGAAGAACGAGACACGCATGCAGCACGCTGCTTGAACGGGCAGGAAACACGGAATACGTACTCAGCTTCTCCAGGATCTCCTCATCTGTCATCTTGGACTTTTTCCGCTGCCGGTCTGTGTTTCTGTACAAAGTGTTTGTGTTGGAGTTTTCAGGTTGGGGAGTGGTGGCTTCTTTAGCTGGTGCTGGTGCAGCAGCAGGCTCGATTACAGAGCGTGTGTAGATCTGCGACAAGAAATTACTTGGTGTCAGAAAGGCAGCTCGCTGAGATGCCCCCGAGATCGCATTTCAAATGCAAACCCTTTGGAGGATGCTGTCTGCCACATCCAGGGCTCTTAAAATGTTTGGCTTTGCTGCCCACTTCCCAAACTGAACAGGGAAAAATGAAAAGTCAGTTGCACACAAGTTCATGGCCAGTTTCATTTTCAGTCTTCACTGATTCTCTGAAAGACGACCGAAATAATGCATTTACTGTGTTGCAAGGATACAGAAACAGCTGCTTGTGTGTGTTCATGGGTAACAAAATGACTCTTTAGTTGGTACCTAAGTGCCTGAATAGAGGCAGGGAGAATAAGTTCACGGACCCTGTCAGAATCACAGGAGACTCATGACTAAAGATGAAAGTTCAAAACAGATTCTCCTGGTGCCAGTGGCCTGGGTGAGCAGTGTGTGATGGTTGGACTCCAGTCCTGTCTCCATCAGCAAGTGCTGCCTGATCGCAAACCGGCAGCTGTGAATCACAGGGAATGCAGCTGGGACTTACTGATTTTGTATGTTCAGGCCGTGGTGCGATGACAGGCGGAGGTTCATTGTCATCTTCCTCCTCTTCATCATCCTCATCCTCTTCCTCAGAAACAGAGGGAGCTAGAGGGGGTTCCGACGCTGTTTTTGTGCTCTGTGGACAGACAGCAGTGCGAGCGTCAGTCACCATTCTGGCACTCAGGTTTGAGAACAGCGCACCTGAGGCTGCTCAGACATCAGACCAGACGTGCCTACGGGCCTCAGTTCCACGTTACACACAGCACAATTTTAAGGGTGCAAATTACCATGATGTTCTGTTAATTGATCTTGGTGGTTTTAATTTTTGCTAAAAACAACTAAATCATTCCCAGGCTTAGTCAAAGTCTAATTTTACAAGATGTAATGCTTGAATGTATCACCAGAATCACATCTAGTTGCTGGTTAATTGCTTTGGCATTGTGTCTACAGAAACAGTACCAGTTAATTAAGCTAACAGGTGTCTATTGGCTAGGTTAATTAACACATTTTGAAGTGCAAAGCCTCCTTCCTCGTCTTGCTGGGAATTTGGTTTTGGAGAGTGTTGCGAGATGCAGTGAGTCAGTCGGTTCCGGGAGGTTGGGCACAGAGTCAGAGACATCCTCACAGAGGTAATGCTCAAAGCTCTAACTTTATTTCTTCGCCCGGGTATTTATTGAGTTACCAAGTGCCATGCGCCACCACCCTCTAAATGATTGGTTACATCGTTTTGTCCACATGCTCTACCTTTTCTCCTAATCAGCTACATAACTTCAAACACACGGCAACACTCTTCCCCCTGGCGATTTAGGCATTCTGCTCCAATCTACCTCTTCCTTCTTCCCCCTGCTTCTATCACTTCCTTCTTTCACCTGCTCAAGGACACATCATCCTTCACATGGCCTGGGTTGTGCACGCAGGTCTGCACTAGCACTTCACGACCATGGTTACTTAAAAATTCCTCTACAGGAGAGAAAGACTGTTTCCTTACTATTTTCCCCAGGGGGTAATCATACTGCCTCTTTCCAGTGCTGAATTCCCCTGTTCAGCAGCTCCTTTTCAGCACCATCCTTGTCTTTACCTCATCAGAAGTTTAACCCGTTGGTCTTTGCCCTGTTTGCTTGCCTCTTACCGTGAGAGCAGCCCACGGTGAACGCAGCTCTCTCAGCAGCAGGGAGCATCCTGCGACCTGCCCGGTGCCAGGCGGGCATCCTGGCTGCTCACCCCAGCTCCCGTTACTGGCAGCGGGAATAAAAGCCACTGCCAGGGCTGCAGGAAACGGGGACCTAATCTTCACGCCTGTGTCCTACTGAAGAGATGCCTGTACCCTGCCTTAGGTCACCTGTACGCACAGGGAGTGTTGTATTTTCTGTGAGACTCAGCTCCGTTACCCAACTGGTACAGGTAGGTGGTGAAACAGGCTACTCGTCTGGCTGAAATACGGAGTGATACATCAGACATCCTCAACACCGGTTTAAGGGCCAACTCCATCGAGCAAGGGGTGCCCTGATGGGAAGGCAACTGCTACTCTGTCATGCATTAGACCCGTGCAGAGCTTTCTGTGCATCATTAGCACCTTGCTTACACGGGGAGAGAAGATGATTAAAGGAAAAATAAAGAAGAGAAAAATCACACTTCTGTTATGTCAAATTCTTGCACCTATTTTTTCCACTGGGCTCCATGCTTGGTCTGACAGCACTAAATTGTGTAGCTAGAACATATACAATGTCATATTATTTAGTGCCAGACTCCCATTAAGGAGTGAAATGAAATTAAAGTACTTCCCATGACTGCTCGATCCTGTCAGAGTTGTTTTCCCTGAACTAGAACACTCAAGCAGCATCCTCTGCGTCGGGAACTTTTGAAAGCTGACATCTTGGCCGTCTCACCCCTGTCTGCCAGCTAGAACAGAACACCACAGCATCTGCCAACGTGTCCATACCCCTGGCAAACCATTGGGAAGGATACTGTGCCCTGGGAACCCCAAACTTCCTTTCAGAAGTGTGTTCTAGTAAAGGTAAAGGAAGTGGCATCAGTGGAAGATCTGAAGTGTGAATACTGAAAGATGATTCTCATTGCATTATGTACACTCTCTGCTGTGCAATCACCAACCTAAAATGAAGTTGCTTAACAGCTGAAAATAAAGGCCAAATCCCCATTCAGCCATTTGCTATTTAATGCACTAACATTAACACTAATATATCTGGTCAATATTAATGTGGATGTCACAGCTACATCTCTGGGATTGCTATGGCAATCCAGTATTAATTAGTGTGGATGATTATTTAAAACTTTCTTTCAGTGGTTCCAGTGAGTTACATATCAATTATAACCTTATTTATATTCAGCTAAACATCCAGCTGTACTAAGGATAAATCATAAAATCTAATAGAAATGGATTCTAAGTTGTTAAAACCAAATTAAAATGGGCTAATTAGACAGTACCGCATATTGTTGTGAATTACATATTCCACCACGGTTAAGAAGAGCAAGCAATCTCCTGTCTGCAAAACCAGACTTTCAGCTGTTTAGACGTTCTTCCAAAACAGCCAGGGATGCCTTTTCTGCTGCTCCACAGACACTGGAATGTACGGACTTTCAGCCCAGAGGGCTGGCGCTCTGCCGCAGACGGCAAAGCTCGCAGCTTGCTCCACAGTCCTTCAACGCTAGGGAGGTGGGAGGTTACCGTGACACTCACCGAAGGATGGGCTTCTATGTATCCGTGGGCGCTTTTATCTGCAACGTGCAAGGGAAGATGAACCAGGTGCCGTTAGAAAGCTGCCTCTCGTGGGGATCCCCACACAACAAGTAAACCCAAAGAGTATTTTTCTTCCACAACATCCCTCCAGTAGAAAGTCATTTTACACAGCCAGCAAGGGAACAGGACAGTATCCCAGGTGACAAGCTTTCTACATTTTCTTGTCTATTTTTTGGCCTGTTTTGCCCATAGATAAAATAAACTTGGTTAAGAAAATGCAAATTTTTCTTTGTCAGTCACTGTTTCTTTTCCGCCCAAGAGCTGAAGCAGCTTTATTAATTTATTAGATCAATTACATGCATTCATTCTCTTCAGCTTGCTGGAAACATCTCCCCACAAAAGCTTCCCCAAAATCCCCCTTAGCTGTTGCAGTTCCATTCTGACACAGCGCAGTGACAGCTCCCGAGTTCAGGAGCACACCCCGACGGCTCTCAATTTTGCATTTCATCACAAAGGTACTTGCTATTTTAACAAACATTAAGTGCCAAGTTAGTCAGGTCTTGATGGAATTTAGAAGAAAGGTGCTTTCCCTCAAAATAAGAGAGACGTTAGTAAATTCTGGAGATAATTGCACAGTTGTTAGGGCTTCTGAGAAGCTCTCCCAGTCTGCGTTTTGGAAGTTGTATTGGTTGAACCAGCAAATTGGGGACATTATGGACTCTACTGCCACGGCGTATGGTGTGCAGGGACCTGAACCGCTGCAGGTTACATTACACGTGCTGTCCAGTCCCTCCTGGACAGAGACATCCCCGTTACCTGAAGCTGTTGACATAAGCGTTGCCCAAGTAACGGCATCTTAACGGTATTTGTGTTTAAAAATCAACTCAGTTGTTAAGGAACAGCGAAAGAACACACCGATACAACAGCCAGACACGCTGCACCTAGTAAAAACCTCTAGACATCTACCAGATGCATTGTCCGCCCCAGCTTGTCTAGCAAAACACTGGAGGAACGGGGCAAAGAACAAACTGCAAAGCACAGCACAGGCGTTCTTTCTCCTTTCTGCAAAGACCCAATTTTGTATGGAAGGGGAAAAAACTGACACCTCCATCACGTTTGCAGGCTTTGGGGCAGCGATGCCCAAACGGTGAGGGTCTTCCTGGAACGAGCGCGCGATGGAGGCGGCTCTGGAAACTGCAGCCTTCCTTCCCATCCTCTGTGATGTCATCCTCTCACATCACAGCAGCAGCCATCTAGGCTGTCAGTTTATGCACAGCAGCCTCATCTTCCCCAGAGCTAACACACACAAAATCCTTGAAACTTCTCCTCTATCAGAAAGGATCACAAGACATCCTCCCAGTCCGTCACCAGCTCACAGTGCACGAACCAAGCACACCCCGTTCCCCAGCCTGAACACTGTGAGGAACAAGGATGCAGGGAAAGAAAAGCCAACATGACTTCTGGCCGACTAACGCTTCTGACGAGAAGCAGCAATGGTTGGTCCATCTCGTATCTCATCTAGTTCTACGGACAAGCGACCAAGGAAAGTCACCATTTCAGTGACACTTAGGGGACAAAAGGAGAAGTACAGTTCATTTCAGGAGTATTCCACAAAGTGGAATTTTTTAAGGTTACTTCTTGACCACCTGAATGTTGAGCTTCGGTCTGACTCACTTGGGGGCCTGACACTCCCTTTTTCGCAGCGAGATGCTGACTTACCTCCTGACGTAAAGCTCATATATTTCTGGTTGTTAACTGTTTCTTTGGAATCATAAAATTTGAGAACATCTAGAACAGCTTGTGGGTTCTTCTTCTGCTCCAGTTTGGTTATGTTGGAGGTCTGTAGTAGCCTGGCCCACTGCTCTGGAATGCCCTGCAGATGTCAAGTGGAAAGAACGTGGATTTAGAGTATTTAACAGCCGCAGCCTCACAGATCCCATGCTACCTGCAAGATTACATTCAGAGATTTTGATTGACACCTTACAATTAAAATTAGTATCTTATACATTAGATGCAATCATTCTCTTCTCTATGAAAATACAGAGCTAAAACCAGGATCCAACTTTAAAAAGAAAAGAAAGTTATGACTGTGATCGGAAAAAAAGTGCATGAAACTCGTCTTTAAATCAACTCTGCTCTTCCATGGAATAATGATTTAAGGCTTAGCTTGTTTTCCTGGTGATTCAGTGCAGACATAGCAAGACTATTCTACACTTGTGGACACCACAGTGTATTTTAGGAGCTTTACACTGGATTTTTAATGCTTGGTAACGCAAACACATTGTGCTGAAATGATCACTGCTGTCTGATGGGAAGGTAAACCCCACCCTGACACAATGCCTTTTCAGCACACCAGGGAACACTGCGGGGTTAGGAATCGGCACGTGAATTCTCAAAAGCGTAACACCGAGCTCTCCCACTGCTGCTGAGGACATCTCTTTTCTGAGCTCCTGTAGCTCCGTAGGTTCTCTCTGTAAATATACAGACACCAGGGACTCAGCAGACAGGCTGAGAGCGCCAAAGCCTTGCACGAGTTCTCGGGCATCTTATGAGTGAGGGTGGCATTTGAAAATCAATCCAATTACTGAAAGCCGCAGCCCCGCGTTGAAATTACATTGATGAGCCATTGCTTTAAATATCCAGTATAATTTCCTAAATTGGAAAGCCTGTAATTTTCCCCATTTACTGCACAGCCAACACCTACCAGCGAACTGTAGGGCTCACTGAATGAACAACTACACCTCAGCTTGGCCTTGGTGCCACCCCGCTCTAGGCAAACATTTGGATATAGCTTCTTCCTAAGAAGTTCTCCACAAAACAATGTGTGACATGGGCCTCCAAAGTTTAGGATTAATGGAAAAGAAGTGGGATAAGCCAAGCAACAAATCTACTGCACACACATCAACCTGCTGCTGCAGTGCTATGACATCTCAAAGAAGCATTTTGATGCAAGATTCTTTTGGGCCTGTGACGCACCTCTGGGAGCTTCCCTGTGCACATCTGTGAGCCATAGAGATCTGGCTGTAATGGACGTAAATAAAGAAAGAAAAGAAAGTTAAAACAGAACGGGGACAACTCAGAAGGTGGGAGGAGGAAACCAATGGGCCAAAGTGGGGAAGTCCCATCTAAAATGGGAGTTACGAGGTAGGTACCGAATAGGTTAGGTGGTGGACAGGCTACAGGAAGGCAGGCTTAGGAAAAATCAACACTGTTCCAAAGTTTGGAAGCATCATTTCCCCTCCTCTCTTTTTTTAAAACCAGTTTTTCTCTCCCTCATAAAAATGCATCACTGAGGATTAACGGCAACCTGTGATTTTTTTTTTTCTTTAAAGTTAAAAATGAAAATAACAGAGAAAGATCTGGGCTTCTGCTGTTTGCCCAGTTTTGAAAGCCAGGTTAGCATTTTGAATGGCTCTACACAAGTTTTTTTTCCAATGGTTCTCCAGCCCCAAGACCACAATTGGCCAGTGCAGGAGTCAAAGTGCAGCGGAGAACGCAGCTGGTCAGACTGGGATTTCGCACTGGGAGGTTGTGCACTGCCGTAACACAAATAATCTGTGCGCACCAGACCGAAAATCAGGACAATTCTAAAAGAAACGTTTGATTAAATTAATAACGTGCAACTTCTTTGGATCTATAGCCACAACTTTCTCCCACTTCCTAATGTCATAATCTGGGAACTGGAAAGGTTTGGTGCACGACCACGTTTTGTTGTAGATTGGGGGTCAGGAAACTGTTTCGAAAACGCATGCCTCAACGCATTCCCCAGAGCCCTGCAAACCACGCTCCTGTTCCTTCAAAATAAACCAACACGAAGCTCCAGCAGCATGCTCCCGCCCAACAGTTTCCAACCAATTTCATTTTGAGCTTTAAAAGCCCTAATTCTTAGCCAATGTGGTTGCTCCAAGCACAGTGAAATGGAGATACAACGTACATTCATGAGCAACAACACAGCTTGGTGCTCCAGCCTGAAAGCCGAAACGGGGGAGCCCATGCAACTTTGGTCTGAGATGCAGCTATCAGCAGTCAGGTAACGCAGCGGGGGTGACCGTTAGGTGTCAGAAAATGGCCCAACGCATCGCACATAACCAGGAGAGCAGACACTGTTGGCATGGCAACTGGGATAATTCGAGACCAAAAAAAAAAAATCCCATATATTCGCATATTTACTGGGCATCCCCATGGCACTTCCAAACTTTTGAAAGAGGCAGACAGTGCGGTCACTAGACAGTGGGACAGCGGGGGTGACCGTTAGGTGTCAGAAAATGGCCCAACGCATCGCACATAACCAGGAGAGCAGACACTGTTGGCATGGCAACTGGGATAATTCGAGACCAAAAAAAAAAAATCCCATATATTCGCATATTTACTGGGCATCCCCATGGCACTTCCAAACTTTTGAAAGAGGCAGACAGTGCGGTCACTAGACAGTGGGAACATTTTTCCATGATATTTTTTAGCAGGACATACTTACCACGACCACCTGGCTGATACACGGGTTGTATCCAGGCTGGGACAAATCAAACATGCCTAATGCAACGTGTAACGTAACGCCTGCCTCTGGGATTAGCTGGGAGCTGACGGCTAGTTCTTAATGGTGCAGAAATCCCCTTGCTTTGAGTGACATTTTACTCTGAGGATTGCAGCGTTAAGCCCTGTGCTGGCAAGCTGCACGGGGAATGTCTCCTGTCCCCTGGGTTTGTTTTGGACCCGTTGGAGCCTTCTCAAACTGCAGCGCTGCACCTTCACGCTTTAGGGACAAGTATTCCTGTGGAAATACTGCGTAGTTGTAAACCAGCAGCCACCTAATGTCCACTGTTCTGAGGGGAAAGGATATGAAACAGAAATTGTGCTACAGCAATAAAGCTGGACATGTAATAAAGGCTAGAAACACGTAGCCATGTAACACTGCTTTGTTCTATAAAAGGCCAGGACCTGTGCTGGTGGCATCTGACACCGGAAAACATATAAATAAATAAAGTCTCTGATGCTACAGACTGTTTTGACACACTGAATGATAATAATAACATTCAAATCAATCCAAACCGTGATCTCAGAAGTACTGACAGAGTGCTTGTGCTTAGAACTGAAGTGTGTTAACTTCCGTGTCCCTCCTTTTTGTTCCAGCTGGCAGGGACGTGAAACTAACTGGGATCCTCACCACCAGCCAGTCTACGAGAGAACACGACTGTGACCCACAGCGTTTGCACAGAGCCAGAAGGGAAAAGTCTGAAGCACAGGGTAGAAATAAAGGCAGAAGGCTGAAAGGAAGAACAAATATAGAATAAGAACAACTAAACATTCAGTAAGGAGAGCAGTGAAACGAGGAAGGAGGGAACGAAAAGACAGACGGGAAGAAGGGATGCAAACACAAAAGGGAGAACGAAAGCAGAAAGTAACAGACTAGATGATACCAAGACAGAGAGAATGGCACTGAAGATTAACCTGAACAATAAAGTGGCTACAGGGAGAGACAGAGAAGGAAAAAAAAGTGGAAAAACGGGACAGATAGCAGGGAAAACACAATTTTAAAAGCTTTATGCTAAGTTTCTGATCAAAAATGACCACATCTGGGCCTTTTACATGAGCACTGAACCAAGCCCTAGGGTTTGGCACGAATAACTTTTGAAGTAAGATTTTATAACTGACATCTATGTTTAAACGGCTAATTAACTACCCCACGTATTTTAAATGCAGCTGTATTTCCTAATTATTAAGGATAATTTGAATCATAGAATCACAGAATGGTTTGGGTTGGAAGGGACCTTAAAGATCATCTAGTTCCAACCCCCCTGCCATGGGCAGGGACACCTTCCACTAGACCAGGTTGCTCAAAGCCACATCCAGCCTGGCCTTGAAGACATCCAGGGATGGGGCATCCACAACACCTCTGGGCAACCTGTTCAATGTTGTTACTCCTTTTAAGATACGCCGTCGCTAAATGTGTCTTTTTTCCCTTGTGTTGTTATTCTTACTATTGCTGCTGTAGTATACAGAAAGTTGCCAGCTTCCTGAAGTGCTTTCAAGAAACAAAAGTAGCAATCAAAGTAAAAAAACGATGAAGAAATCCCATTTCAGGCTCAAATTCTGAAAACTAATCATCCTTTGTCCAGGCAAATGATTTGTCCCATCCTGTGAGGTGTATGCAGCCCGTCAGCAGTAGCACGCTTCACAAGTTGACGCATGGTGATAACACACTCTGACCACTCAGCTCACAGGGTACTACTGATGGCAGGGAGTTGCTGTTTCCGCTCACCTCCACAGCTCAACCCAATGCAAGCTTGCTGCCACCCTAGCTTTAAGGATTAATGGGTTCAGCACCTAACTAGCAGTCTGAGAGAAAAGGCTTTGCGCACTTCAAGGAGCTTCTGTCAGACTCAGCTTTCCCAATACTCCATCGTGATCTAAGCAGGAAAAACTGACTGCTATTTTATGAATATATAAAGGCTAGAAACGGGTCTGATGGCCTAGTCTATGGACAGATTTTGAAGGACATTAAATTCAAATGGACAGAATTCCACAATGCTGCCGCTTTCTGGGCATCTCCAAGGGCTGTCTGCAGAGCGGCTGGACTTGGCACTTTGGGGCAAGTTGTCAACAGCAAGACATACACTAAGCACGTGTGTGTGGGTTTCTTATGCTTTTCCAAAGACACTGAATAACCAAACCCTGTAGCAGCTTGTGGGACTGATAAAAGCATACACCTACGTTCTTCCTAGTTTTCATGTTCCACAGACACTCTGCTGACAATCCTTGGAGAAAAAAAAAAAAGCAGCAGCCTGAATCAGAAGTAAAACACTCAAAATCCTAAGCCCAACAAATAAGTCTCTTTCTTCACAGCCTGGCTGCTGTCACCTGATGTTTCTGGCAACAGGAGGTTATTTTACCATCAGGAAACGAGAAGCTCTGGTGAGCACGCAATACAGTGGTTACTTACTGTGAATTCTCCAGTGACGGCATCAAATCCCACATGAATGGTATGTTCAAAGTCGGAGGGAAGAGAGATCTCAGGACGTTCTTTCTCTTTCTTCTTGTTGGCTAGAGGCAAAAGATTAACACGCGCTTATTTTCCGCACAGCTTTTCATTCAAAAAGTTTCGCAATCAGGTGGGCCTGAAATAGCATTTTAAAAGCGGGAAACAAATCAATCGGCGTCTGACTTAACTGACAAACAGACCCAAGCTAACACAACACCAGCCCAACTGCCAACCCCTGCTTGGGAAGGTCCAGAGGCTGCTATTTCATTATGGTTTTCTTCCAGTCAGTGTCCCAGTGCCAAAGCAAGCTGTTCCTTGCGGAGCCTTCTTAGGTGATCTCTACCCAGTATGATTTCTCTACCAGTTATTGTTTTCATCACGGTTTCATATCTGGCTGCTAACTCCTGTTTGACTTTGCTCTGCGGGTTCCTGCAGAAGCGAAGCACCCAGGACACGCATGTGCACGCCTGTTTGCACGTGTGTCTTTTCTCCAGCACGCTTTGAACCTGTTGTCAAACTCAGATCAGAAAGGAGAGGTTTTTTGGGTTTTTTTAAAACAAGGTTCCTACAAGTTCTCTGAAAACAGGCAGCTCAGGAGGGGACAATTCCTATTCTCAGAGTAAAAGCCTGAAGCAGCAGCTCTCTATTTGAAACCACGGAATCTGCACAGCAACAAGATCCTATAAATGCCACTGGAAAAGCTTCATTTGACCTCTGAATTAACTAAGACCTATAACCATAAACCCCAGGCTTCATTAGCCTCCAGGAATTCCTTGTTTTTAAATCATTCCACCAGTATTCACACAGCGTGGAATATCTTGCTGAAGGAGACAGGCTTGGAAGTCAGTCAATCTGCATACGTTGCTCATCTCCCTCCTAGTCTGACACCTTGTGAACGTAACGTTCCTTGCACTCATCCATCTCCTGTGTGTTTTACTATCGACAAATCCACTTCCGTCCCGTTTTATTGATCCTGATACAGAGTGAAAGAGAGGCTGAGAGAAGATTCCTTCGCGCTGATGCATCTAGAATCCACATTCAACAGAGATTTCACTGAAAAACGGTGACAATAACGACAGTTCTGGACAACTCCCAGACACCCAGATACACATAGCGTAAACCTATGTTCAAATATCTACCCTATTTCAGGTACCTGAAATACCTGGCTTCCCTAGAAAACCCCCATGCTCCAAGACTAAGTACCACGTGGCTGAATAATGCAGCACAGAGCTCCTGTAGGATCTCCTTTAGTGCCAGGGACGTATAACCGTAAGGGCCGAGAGGAAAACTGTCGTTCTGCCAAATACATTTGTCATTTCAGTGGCAAAATTGGGTGGTAATGATTGGGATAGAAAAATATTACAGCGCCCACTTGCAGCATGCAAGAGTTCTTAGTACAAACTCGGGAAATGAGACACACATAAAGCACACGTGTAGAATGCTAAACAGTCACTTCATCTCCCGTCTTTCAAGGAAGCACTCTGCACCCCAGGACCCCAGCTCTCCCCTGCTGCCCTCCTCACCACCTTAACGCATGTCTGGTTTACACACCCTCATCGTGGTGACAATTTTGTGCAAGTCAAAAGCAAGTGTGCCCTTCCACCAGCATCAACCAGGATGGAGCCTTGCGAAATCTGTCTCCTGGCACATCAGCCTTCTAACACAAAGCATCGCTACGCTCGTGAACCTGGAACTAACATTTTCCTCCAGGCGTTTAGTATTAAGTTTGCCAGCTTCCTAAGTTTACCCGGGGGTCTCATCCAAAGGCTGAGCTCGCTGTGTACCAGCACCCCTCCCAGCCTGGTCTGTCTTCGCTCCACGAGGCCTCCCCTTGCACATCTTCCTTACCCTACCTTACACCCTCCTTTAGCTGGAAGTAGCTCTGCTCTTTCTAATTATAGTCCAGAGTATTTTGGACGTTTCTAATCCTTTCCCGGCATTGTTGCATTTATCCTCATTAAATAATTAACTGTCACCTTTTGTCTGTACTGCACACCCCTACACAATGTTAATTGATGAATTGTTTTCATTTAGCGTTCAGCAGAGATGGCAGCAATATATCAAATACAAATGCAAAGGCTTTTCCCCTTCTTTTATTTTTAAGATGATCATTTTCAGGATAGGTGTTGCCAGTTCCAAGATGTCATCTCCGTTCTGCATACATCACTTTTTATTGCAGATAACAAAACTGGCTTCTCCTACCTCACCGTTTGCAAGCAAATGCAGTGAAAATTAGATTTAAAGGATCATCAAATTCAATTCAAAGGAACAGTCAAATACAGCATTACAGAAAACGTTCCATCAAAAGCAGCACTTGTCCGTTCTAGGCCTCTCCGGCTGGGGGACGAGCGCTCCAGCCCATTCCCTAAGACCTGGCTCATCCACTTCACAGACCTCTGCCTACCAGACCGCGGGTAACACCTACGGTCCAAATGCTGATAAAGAGTAAATTCAATACAGAATTAACCATCTCCTTGCATCGCCCTCGCTCCTCCCCAGTCTAAAAACTCTGACAATTCTCTCTGTGCCCTGCAACTCCAACCACTTCCGTCTGACATAAGCTGGCCAAAGGGTACGGGAAGGCAGGGCTTCTCTGAAGCACCGACTGACTGGATTCAAGGGGTTCGTACTGGACATTCCTGTTTGATTTTCTTACAGATGCCACTCACACCACACTCCTGCTGCACAGCAGTCAGCCACGAGGGCCACCCACACCTCCGCAACTAGCACAGATTAGAACAAGGAGAGAGCGTTCTGTCTTCCAGTGTGCATCATCATTATTACGTTAAAAGAGCAGTTTTTCGGCAGAAAAATGTGACTCAGCTAAGTGGCAGCTTTTCTCCCGAGAGGGAGGAAGGGTTTGACCTCACGCTTACAGCCTCCTGTTCGCTTGCCTTTTCTTCATCTCATCCTGTTCCTTCCTCCATCCGCTCTCCCTTCCACTATCCCTCACACTGCTCTCCCATCCTCCTTCCCCCTCTGCTCCTCCTGTCCCACCCGAGCAGCCTTGTCCTCTTCTTTCTCCTTCAAAAACCTTAACCCCGCTGGGTTTTTCTCCTTCCCTCTTTTCTTCTTTTTCTGTTGAGGGGGCAACCAGACGATGAAAGGTCAGACTCCGCTCCCATCCGCAGCTCAGGCTGAAGCAGCTTTGATGGAAGTGGTATCATTCACCCAGTAATCTTGACACGGAGGTACCTCTTCAGCTGAAGGGGTGTCTGAGCTGCGGTGGGCCTGCTCCCCTCTCACGTCTTCAGGTCAAATGCTCTACAGAACCTTTGTGCAGCCTCCAGTTCACACACAGTAGTAATTTATTCCATAGCACAGCAATTCCAGGTGGTTTAATGGAAGAACAAGGCTTTATCAAACAACCAAGTCATTTCTTTCTGCTCTCAATTCTCCTGAGGTAACACCACTCTGCCGAAAGGAAATGCTAATGCCACGGACTCCACCGCGGCTCCATCACTGCCTCCGGGGAAGGCAGGCCAATTTCACAGCTTCAGCACGGGCTATGGGGGAACAGGTTCAGCCCCTTGTTCCACACAGATTGTCCATGTGACACTGGAAACGTATTTCAGTATGTTTGCCCCCAGGAAACGGGGTATCTTACCCCAGGGAGGGAGGCGAGAGGAGTTGTACCAAGGAACATAAGGAGGTCAGGGGCTATGGGAAGGAGCAGGATGCTAATACCCAAGTGGCTTGTTTTAACTGTAGAAGCACAGAGAAGCACCACAGAGTCACCAGTGGCTTGCGAAAACAAGGTATTAAACAAAGAAGCACTCAAACCCTAACTGAAATCCCTACATTCCAACAGGGGAGAGACTGCAAAAGATTCCTGGTCCCCAAGCACAGCAGCCCTGGCACACACCATTGCCTTGGAGAGAATATCCATCCTCATAACCATCCTCACATCTCTGCTGTCTGGTGAACAAATCAAAGACAAAGTGCTTGCAGGTTCAGGCAGAAACACCCTGCCATGGCATCTCCTTCATGTTCTGTTTACTGGTGGCAGCGGTGGACTATTAATATAAATTTGTGATGCTGCACAGCACTGCACTAGATGAGAGCAGCCGTATTAATCACCTTCTGTTTTATAAGCAGGACTCTCAAAAATGTGTCACTGAGCCTGTGAAGCATGCACAGGCCAGCTGATACCCTGACCCACAAGCCAACCCTGAGCTGAAACCACCTCAAGGAGCTTGGCCAGCCAAGCTAAACTTCCTCCATTTATTATTTCACCCAACAAAATTAAGCTATAAATCTTAGCTTACTTCCCCTCACAGTCACATTTAAAATCGTGATACTTGGATGTTTTCTAAGACTGCTCTGACTGGTAGTTAATTACATCTATTTTTAATGTCACTGATCATTTCCAGGAGGGGTTGTTTCTGAATCTCCCCGTTTTCAGCACCTCCTGCTTAAGAAATGTTCCATTGGAGAGATAATATCCCACTGGCAATTAGGGGATGAAGTGACCCAAGTCCTTCCAGGGATTAAACAAGCCGGCAGAGATTTTGATGTTGGCCTTTACAAAGAATCAACTGCAAATTAAATTTATTCCCAGAAGGGGACATTTTGGAAAGCACACTGGGGAGTGAACCGGCCAGGTCTGCCTGAGGAACAGGGTGAGTCACAGCATCCACATGAGAGGAGCCATGGGGACTGCCCCTGACCGACGGGAGGGCTGGGGCTGTATTGTGCCTTCGACTGCCTGTGAGGAGTTGTGAGTGCCAACTGCCCCGCAGGATCTGTGGAAGAAACTCATACGCAGGGCAGCCGAGCAGCGCAGGTGAGCTGGAGCTCCGAGGGAATGACCACAGGCCTAGTTCTGAGCTCTGCTTGGGGGAAGAGCGATGCACATCGAAGGTGGAATCCCTCCTGAAATCCAGCTGGATTTTGTGCTGCCGACCACAATGCCCTGAGCCCAGCATTTCAGCCGCTTTTCAGTCCACCTCACTGCCCACTTATCTAGACTGTACCCCAGTTTGTCTGTAAGGATGCCATGAGAGGCTGTGCCGAACACCTTACTGAAGTAGGAACAACGCCCACGGCTCTCCCTTCACCACCAAGCCTGTCACCTCATGGGAGCAGGATGTCAGGATGGCTCAGCACAAAGTCTCCTTCCTCAGGCCGTGCTGACTATTCCTAATCCCTCGCTGTAACCACAACTAGAAGGCTTTAAACCAAGCCCTTCTGCACCCACTCTCACTGCAATAGGAGCAAGCACCTTGCTCCTGTTCCTGGACCGTTAAGTGCACTATAAAAAAACCCCAAAGTGTCAGGCATATTGCCTTCTCACTACTGCAACTGTCTTTTCAAAAGAACACCACCTCACCTCCGTTTTTACTGCAAATGCAGAGCAAAATCCAAAGGAAAGGATTCCCCAGCTTAACTATAAAGTTATTTTTACAAGGCGAGTCGCACTATGTGCGCCCGTCTTACTGGCTTTTCAAAGACAAGAAAGTAAGTGACTGAACACCTCCTCCTCTTTTGCAACATGTTACTAGAGTAACTGAACAGAAGGCTTTGGAAGGACTTTACCACGTTCTGCAACTGAACCAGAAAGAAAACAGTGGCAGCAAGTAAACACGGCACCCAACAACCAACAGAAAGCAGAGATGGAGCCCGCAGTCACACTGCTGATACGTTACTTTTATCCCCTCCTCCTGGGAAGATGGAGCGCAGCCTGGCTTTCTTGTTCTTCTCCTCGGGGGCCATGGGGAGCGGTTTTGAACTGTGGTTTAGCGCTGAAGAATCACGATTGTTGCTGTTCATTCTCAATGGTGGGGCTGGAGGTTTCTCTTCAATATCCAGACTATCGGACATCTTCAGCAGCCCTCACAGCCTCCTGCAAAAGCAGAACAGAAAGCACGCCTGTCAGGTAGGGGTGCCAAGGCTGGTGTCCCGGGGAGGAAGGAGGGCAAGCAAGCCTTCCAGTGCAATATGGAAGCCTCTCTACTAGAAGTTTGCTCTGAGTAACGTTACTGCTGGTTGCTACAAACGCACGCAGTGGCCAATTCCTAAAACCCACTGTATTCCCATTAAAAGAAAGCTTTTTTTAATCCCTGGTAAAGACTTTTAAAATTTTTGTTTACAACCTTTTTTCCTGTAGTTGTTTACAATCCAAATTTTCCTCTAAAACCAGACTTTCAAAGCAAAATTTAAATGATTTACTGAAACTACCTGGTATCACAGCGAACCATTTTTATGAAACACAGTGCTTGTTGGGGGGCATATGGATAGGAAGCATTAGGATCTCTGTTCCCTCCCTGCTCTGTGCTTGGAGAGGGTTTAGTCCTGGAAGCGTGAGGCTTCAAAAGGAATGATCTTCCCACAGGAAATTTATTCAGAAGTACCAATTAAAAGCTTTCTTGCTCATAAAAATGAGCAATACGTTTGCTTTAAAATCATTCAAAACCTACGCAGGAAAACGACCCTATCTTGAAAACAATTCAAGTCGTCCTCCTCCTGTCCTGTTACCACACCGGTCTGCCACCACAGGGCTGGCTGTGGCACAGCTTTGGGTAACAGCACCGTGAAGCCCCCAGTATGGTACCTCAGCAAGGAGTGGACACGTACGGACTTTTGTTGACTGCTAAGAACAGGGGTACTGATCTAAAGAAAAAAATGCCCAGAAATTGTTACAGAACTGCCATAAGTTGGGAAAACCAAGGGCAGGTAAGACTTTTCAAATTCCTGATCTTTCTAGTGTATCTTAAATATTAAAATTCAAGCCTGGATTAAGCAGTTGGTTGAACAAACAAGCAACGCTTGGTAAAATGAACTGTTTTAAGACCTGAAAATAGAGTATGATTTCAGACAGATCAGATGTGATGTGGGCTATGCTGCATATTTTTAAAGGTTACGATTCTACATGCACCTTGCCTTCCAACCCCTCTAAAAATCAGTGTGGCTCCTTTTACGGAGGGCACATGCAGACCGCTGTGCACGTGTTACGGACGCTCCTTGTGCTGATTCACAGATAACACAAGTTACTGCAGTCATCAGCTCCCCTCTGAAATTTAAAATCAAGGAAGGTTGTTTCAGCTGTGGTTTTTTTCAGAAGTATCAGCCAAACGTGGTGACTGTCACTTACACAAAGAGATCCTGAAGCTCAGCTGGTAGCAGCATCGCTGCTCCCACTTCGCTCAGGTAAAGCTGCCATGGGTGAGGGTTTTCAGGTTGTTTGGCTGGGATCTGTTTGGGTTTGGGGTTTTTTTTTGGGGTTTTGGTTTTTTTTGTTTTTTTTTGTTTTTTTTTTTTAAGAACAGAGGTTAATCTTTTCAACAATTGGATTTATTTTGATTATAGCTGGAATTTTGCCAGGATTTCCAGCCGATATATTTTTAGGGGATGCTCAAATCCACATTGCCTTACCTGACAATACCTTCCACATAAAAACCAAATGACCAGCTGTAACATTTAGAGATGTTCACTCTGGACTGTTTTTCATTACATGGGCATTTTAGCCTTTGTTACTATTTTTTAATTACCACACATAAAACAATCACTTTTTTTACTTGACTTATATTTTTAATATGAAATTTTGTTACTATTTTTTAATTACCACATATAAAACAATCACTTTTTTTGACTTATATTTTTAATATGAAAACCCAAAATGCAAGATCTGAGATTCAAAGCATCTGCCCAGCGATAAGAACAATAAACGACATATACCATCACATCTGTTTTGCACTGGTCCCTGTGTCCAGAACGTGGGGTTCCTGAACATCTGGATCCCCAAGGGATCCCAGGAACCTGTCCTGGGGTCACACAGCTGAAAACCCTAGCAACAGCGGGTCCCAGCCCTCTCCCTAGTACATAGAGCATCAAGTGCGGAGCCTGGCGACCGTGATTCACAAGCACGCACTTGCAGACGTTACTGAGCCCGGTTGCTCACCTCCATCAGGGAGCAGTTTGTATGGGCACCCTTCCCAGCTGACTTCATCAACTGGTTTGTGTTAAATTAGTGATCCGAGCGATTCTGGCATATGTTGCCTGCAGCAAACTAGGGAGAGCTCAAACAACTGCTCTGCTCATAGATCAATACGGTGTTCACCAGCCAAAGAGGATATCTACGCGTAGTCTCAAGTCCTGTGTGGACTGCTAGACCTTTCCTACACCATGGAGTTGCCCACCTCCCCCCACATACTGCACAGCTATACTGAACCACAGGAGCCACCGACCAGGTGCTGGTAGCTTTACCTTCAGGCCTAGAAGCATGGAAAAGCTCACATACTCTTAACTCACAAAGCCATGCACTGGAGGCAGCTGTCAGTCAGAATGGTGTGTTTGTCATTTGGAACACACCACCTGGGATCCTTCACGGAAAACCACGGTCTCCGGCACACGCCCGGTCCCCACTGCCCCGCTGCCCAGGTAGAGATCTAGTGGGAGACCTGCTCTGGCGATGGAGGAGCACAGCCCACCCTCCTGTGGAGCCACATAGGTAGGAATAATGTGCTTTGTATCACCAAGGAATAGCTGTAATTGTGCCCAGGCTGGGGTTTTTGCTGATCTACCTCTCAAGTACAGACTAGCCTACTTACCTAGAGAACTAAATGCTTCTGTAGATTTAGGTCAAACAGTTAGCATTAATAATCTTGGTGATTTCTATCCTGAAATGCAGAAGGTTTTCGAGTCATGAGAGTAAAAAAAAAGCCAGTGATGAAAACTACGGTAAGGTAGAGGGGAGAACTGCACGTGCTGTGCGTGATATCCTGGTGCAGGTAAAGTGCATGATGCCCAGGTATTTCTACACACGGAAGCGCGAGGGAGTTCCCAGCTACAAAGCCCAACAGAGACATCTGGACATAGAATCACAGAATGGTTTGGGTTGAAAGGGACCTTAAAGATCATCT